GTCCCAGTACTCACGCTGTCCCAGTACTCACACTGTCCCAGTACTCACGCTGTCCCAGTACTCACACTGTCCCAGTACTCACGCTGTCCCAGTACTCACTGTCCCAGTACTCACTGTCCCAGTACTCACGCTGTCCCAGTACTCATACTGTCCCAGTACTCACACTGTCCCAGTACTCATACTGTCCCAGTACTCACACTGTCCCAGTACTCACACTGTCCCAGTACTCACTCCCACCCTCGTTCCCTTGTGCACTTCAACTGTGCGTTCATGTTGAAGGGTTTGAGTGTGTAGTGTGTCCCACATTCTCCACATCCGCCCTTAGCCCCGCCCATTTTGGGTACTGTTTSCACCCTTATGCAAAGTCCGCATTTTTATGGATTCAGCGAAGTGTATTACCCACAATTCATTGCTGTGTGACTTTTTGAATTAAAAGGCAGAAATCTGTTAATGTCCACTGAGCAGCTTCAGTTTAGTGCTGGTTAATGAGGTCATTTAATGGTTAATGAGTCTGCCAACCACCAATAAAACCAAGAGGAGAAGAACTTATAGAAGTCAGTTCTCTGATGTATCCGCCTCCTTCACTTCATCTTTCTTCTCCTAAAAACCAGGGCTTTTTGTAGTTCTATCATTTTTAGCAATATAAATGTCAAAACAGTGACTGGTCCCTCCATGTTGGATGTCTCAGTTACAACAAGTCGATGATGTAATCTGTACTGTCCCAGTTCGCAATTTATTTACAAGCTTGTAACCTGCACACTGCAACACTTCAGAGGGGTGTAGGTGCACACTGAGCACTGGGACTGGACCTTCGTCATGTCTGAGGTTAAATGGGCTCCTGTGACCTCTGACCCTCCTCAGGTATCTCCAGGTGATGAGGAAGCTGCAGAAGACCTACAGGATGGAGCCCGCTGGGAGCCAGGGGGTCTGGGGACTGGATGACTTCCAGTTTCTGCCCTTCATCTGGGGCAGCTCCCAGTTTATAGGTAACACACACACACACACACACACACACACACACACACACACACACACACAC